CGAACTTGCGACAAGCAAAAACACATTACGGGAAACGCCCGCCCATCATCACTCTCATTGCGTATAGAAACTTAAAACTAAGTGTGGACCAATACACGTAAAGGAAGAATGTGTTATGAATGGAGGTTGTCGCTTTACTGTTTGCGCGGTGCAAAGTCTGCCCAATGGTTTCCGATGGGGGGGGAAGGATCCAGCCAAAGTGACATGTGGGGTCACAATGCCCAGAACCATCAACACGACAGGTCAACAACGCCCTCGAGCATCCAGAAGCATCAACACCACAGGTAAACAATGCCTGGGTCCAATACCAACATTGCACAGAAGCATCAACGTCGGCAACAACGCCCCCGGCCTGGAAGCTGAGTTTTCAGGAGGGTGGAGAGGGAGGGCGCATGGCAGCTGATGTTTTTGAGTGCAGGCAGAGTCGGCGTAATAGACTCCAATCTACCTACACTGCCTATACCCCGGCCTAGAATATTGGTAGGTCCAGGGTCTTTGCAGGAAGCATCAACGCCACAGGTCAACAATGCCCAGAAGCGTCCATGGCCACAGGTCAACAGAAGCATCCGGTCAACAATACCCAGCGCAGGCTGCGGTATGAAAACCCCCATTCATTTCCAAACCCCCATTCACATGAAAATTCCTTTCTTGCAACCTTCCCCAAAGGAAGTCGAAATCACGAAGTTCCGAACTGTATGCAGAGCGTTTGATCTCATCGATGGTCCTTTCAAGCTTTCGAACATTCCTCAACCGATGGAACAACCATTCACCTAACATTCTCTGATTCGGCCAGTCGGCAGGGTCAATGGAGTTCAGGGTTTTCATGACTGTACCACTAAACTCCTGGAGATCCTTCAACGAAAAACCATTGAGTTCCACCTGAAAGATGCTTTGCGATGTGAGCAAAGAACCACGAGTACGATCGAGATCGAAGTGTCGAGCGATCATGTACAAAATCATCCTACCCCGAGGGACTGTGGACTGACGTGTGCAACGCTCAACATAACCTTGTACCTTGAACAACAGCTCAGGGCTTGACCGCACGTTCTTGAGAAGCTCAGACGCAAGCCACCTATCAAACCTTGGGATCAGGCCTGATGAACTCTGGCGTTCTTTCTCCTGACCTACCTCAAAAGCCGTTGCAGCCCACTTGAAAAGGTATTCATTTGACGAAATGTCCAAGCGGCCAAGCATCAAAAAGAAGTTTGTCTTCCAAGCTCGAAAGTCTGCAGCATTCTGGGGAACCACTTCCAGTTTGGTGTGCAACAATGCTCTGGAATTAACAATCTCCCTTTCTGATGCACGCGAAGGCGATTCCGAAATCAACTCTTCTTCATCGTCATCTGACCCTTCACCCCCCTGATCGATTGGATCGGGCGGACCTCCGGGAAAGCCTTTGCCAACACGAAGTCCGCGAGAAGGTCCTGCAGGAGACGAAGATGAATGGACAACTATGTCATGCGAACGATCGAACAAAGGTCGAGGCTCACGACTTGGATCCGTGCTATTTCGGCTTGATTCAAGTGTCAACATTCTGGAACTGAGTGACTGAACAGCTTCCACGATTGACTCCAACATTCTGTTGCCTCCTTCGTTGTCCTTGGGCAAGGATGCATCAGGCACAGGCTTCGGCGCAAAAGCAGGCGCAGGCGACTGGATGACCGCGGCGCTAGAAGCAGCCAGTCGGGCCTCCAGAGACGAGATACGATCTTGTCGAGACGAACACTCATGGCAAAGACGCTGGATTTCTGAATCTTTATGGCCTATCAGGTTGAGGGACTTTTGGTTGAGGTCGGACAAACGGTCGATCTCATCTTTCGCTTTGCGAAGTTGACCCTCAAACATTGACTGGTTGAATTTGATCTGGTTCTCAAGGGTTTGCTTTACCTCTTGGACCGCTTCATGCAAGCTGGTGATCATGACATCTTTCTCAACATGACCGGATTGGAGCACCTCATTTTGGCTACGGAGTTCTTCAACCAGGGACGTCAGGTGACCAATGTGAGCAGTGGCTTCCTGGAAGACCTGCTGGGCGACACCTTCAAAGTGCATGGCCCTGGAGTCAGCTTCCCCGATAAGTCGTTGAGACTCAGCTACAACACGACCGAACTCTGCATGATCAATACCAACATATGCCACCTGGACCGTGTTAAAAGACCGGGCGTCATGGAGGTGCAACTCTTGGGTCAGACTTGATGGATTGGGCATGACCTCATCTTCATCAGGGCTCTGGATCCTAGGCTGACCAACTGGTCTCTGGAGCAACCCACTGGACGAAGGCAAGGACCGACGATCAGCGAGAGCCGGAATCGATGGTTCAACCATGGAAGACCCTTCCGCTTGAGATTGAGGACCTTTGGGCATGTTCTTGATGACTCTACTCAAAGATCTTCTTGGAGGTTTTGATCCTCTTCGACTACCATGCGGAGTTCCTGAACCCTGAGACGAATGAGACTGAGATCGGCTCCTAACCGCAACTGCCATACCACCAACAGTAGTGTCTGAACTGACGTTCAATGATGATGACTGTTCTTCTGACATGACTTTGGATCAGTAACCACTCTTGACAACCTAAATGCACAACAATGCAACCGATCGAACGACTCGCGAACTCAAGGCAAAATGCACTTTTATACTCCTGAGGCGCTAAAGCAGCCGATCAGGGTTCGACGAACGCTCAACGGGATGCACTTCCCGGAGCAGCCTTAGGCACACGATAGGCCTGGCTTGGATCTTCGGCCAATGAGAAGGTGCGAATGAACGTCTCGGCTTTCTCAATGGCGTAGGCTGACGAACAGGACCAATCGTGGAACTGATGTGGAGCAACAAGCCCGGCCCTCGGCTTCCTCACCTGGAAAGCTACTTGGCCTGCACTCCAGAAATCGTTCACAATCTCCGGATTGTCGTCGTAGATGAATGCAAGGCCTGACGAAAGGGCCTGACAAGCTGCAAGCTTGCCTGCTGGACCACAACGCTGCTCGGTGATGAGGATGTAACGAACGGGCAAATTGGACAACTCTGTAAGATACAAAAGATTCTCCAAATTGGCCTGCGAACGCTCAATGTGCGAGCAAATGATCAACTCTGTTGTGTTCCCTGCTCGACCGGCCAAAGTTCGAAGATGGTTCAACGACTCAATGTGCCTCGGAGGAATCCCGTCTGCTGTTGGCCTTTCGGCAAAATGCCGGGAATGCCTGTCCGTGTCGAGCACCTGATGCCAATCCCACACAAGGAGATGCTGCTTGATGCGAACAAATGAACTCTTGTCAACTGAACGACACTGGCCACCTTGGACAACAAATACTTTCAAGCTGTCGTGAAATGGGGAAATCTGAACCCTACCAGTCTCCTCAAGTTCGATGGCCTCGTCCTCAATGACAACAATCGACGACGGATTCACTGCTGCTCCTCTTGAACTAGATGACTTTGAAGGCAAATCGAACGGCTGAAACGGAGGTGCCTTTGGCGGCGGATCTGATTCACTCGAAACCTCTGCTGATGCCTTTGGAGGCTCAATCAACTCTGTCGGACCGGATGGCAGCTCAGTCACCTCAGAAGACTCCACCAACGAAGATGAACTGTCTGCAACTGTACCCAACACTGGAACCTCAAAAGGCAAATCCGGAATATCGTCCTCCACCAAAATGGATGGAGCCTTGGATGGAACGACACGCTGAGACGGAACAATCACGTCTGCTTTGGGTTCTGCCGATGATGAACTCCGGACTGCAGCAGGCTTGATAATCAATGTACCCTTTGCTTTCGGCAATGACTTCTTTGGAAACTCTTCAACAGGCTTTGGAGGTGGACCAACAAAACTGAAGTCGGCTTTGACACTGCTGTTGCTTTTCCTTCCCAAAACTTGGCCGCTGCTGGCCTGATCACAACTTTCGGAGGCGATGCAACCGGTGCCGAGCTCGAAGCTTCCGTCGGCACGGCCGAAATGACCCGTCTGATCGGCACTGGCGGTGGCGGTGGGATCCGGACAGGTGATGATGGCGTCACTGACGTCGGAACTGGCGCTGAGGGCGTCTCTGCAGTCACAACAGGCTCTGAAGGCGTCTCTGAAGTTTCAACAGGCGATGCGGGCGTATCTGAAGTTCCAACTGACCAAGGGTGTACGACACCAGACCAAGGGTGGCCGATACCAGGGGTTTGAGTGGCAGCAAGGGCGCGTCGTTCAGAAAGACCTTGCAATCCACGCCACTCAACACTTGCTCGACCCTGGAACCAGGCTGACCGAGGAACAAGCCTGACCACCTCAGCCGTCACCACACTCAAGGGCCTGGCCTTTGGCAAAACCACCGCAGGCCCAGCCCCCTCCAATGCACCGTCCTCGTCAGAACCAGAACTCTCGTTGTCCCAAATGCGAGGAGTGTAGAGCGGCCCTGATTGTCCACCTGAATGGATGATAGGCACCTCTTCAACCGGAACACCAGTCTGCTCTGACACGTTCCGTGCGTAGGCCGTGCGACGACGTTTCGCAGCGGCCCCAGACCTGATCCCTCGCTCTCTCTGATGAGGACGAGGAGGGTCAGCGTCCATGCACGCGCCGAGCGGATGGATGTGAAGAATGCTGTTCCCCCAAAAGCAAAAGAACAACAATCAAACAAGCCGATACGGCTGATAACCACTAGAAGTGGAAACCAACCCAACAACAACCAAACAGTCAACACAAGTTGAGTACGCCGTGACCGCGACGAGGCGGCGGCTGCGGGCGCACCTTTTACCACTTGAGCCAAAAGTACAAGTTGTTCATGAACTGTGCATACATATGAGGTGTACTGTACACAGGAAACTTCAAGTATTATATACAGTAAAACATGTAAGCTGGCAATGAAACACAAGCAACACAGCAACATGCTTGAATCGACCAACAACCAAACAAGCAAAACGAACGAAACTAACATAACATATACATACTGTATATAAACCGATTATGACCGATTTCGCTATGACATTTTGAGGTGACATGCACCCAATCTTTTTCAGACCCACACCTTGGGCCAATGGAAGGAAAAGCTCCGCCGGTCCTCATCCAGGACCACTGGATGCCACCTGTCCAGTTGTCAAGCCATCACCTCTGAGCGGTTACGATTGCAAAAGAATGCATTTATGTATATAGATGTTTTAGTCATAGATGTTTTAGTCCCGGGGGCTAGTAGCTACAAGAACGCTACTACCGACAGGACGCAGGATAGCTCACCTTTAGGCCGGCGGGGGGGAACTTCCTGGAAGAAGCGCTCGCACTGTTCATTTGGTTCCTAGAATATTTAGGGAAATTTACCCTTAGGAATCCCACGGCAGCTGCCCGTTCCCACGCATGTGGCCATGCAGAGGAAAATTCTGCCAGCAGTCGTAGTGGCAAATCTTCTCGGGACCTGAGCTTGATAGTCCAAGAGAAACCGCCGGAACAAAGCGGTCCAAGAGAAACCGCTGCTCCCCTCGCACAGATTGAGATCTCCGGACACCTCCGAAGCGTCACCTTGGTCAGAACTCCCGCATAAAAAAGACTCAACTGAATAGTCTGAGTGGTCCTAAGGAGCTAACTCACGCCATCTTCACCAGGCCGGGGCCACCTGAACCGTGCATCCAAGTCTTAATTGCAAACAGCAAAAGCTCCAAAACAAAATAAATAAAATGTTGGAAGTTATATAATATAAGATAGAAATCCCCGACGCTGCGCCAACCAACCAGTCTGTAGAAATGAAGCCCAAGCCCAAGTGGATCAAAATGGCTTATCTGTTAAAGCTGTCCCCAACAAAGGTCTGTTTATTTGCCGTGGCCAGCCTTTCGAAGGACATTCACTGGCTTCAATTGCCGTATGGCAAGTTGTAGGCTGGGCAAAAGTTGCCATGCGGCACTCGTGGCCAACATGTTGGCAGGCACGCCGACGTAGCCATTGTCTGCTTCAAAAAAAATGTTAAGCCCCGAGTGTCAAATACGTTTTGGCATTTTAGCGTCTCAACCAATCATTCAAATCTGATGAGACAGCTCTCTACCTGAGTAAGGTTGACTCTCTTTATGTGCACTTCATCACCTGTGAGCCAAATCCAAGCAAACATACTTTTGCACCGTCAACCGCTGCAGCTATCAACTTGCTTCGGGGCCTTATCTAGAATATCATGACTTGCTGTTTGAGCATCTTGTTGGTTTGTCATAAGTCTTCCACAACAAAAGGATAGTGGCCCAATGTAGCTTCTGTGGATTGATGAACATCGTGTCCAGTGGCAGCATATCAGCTGCTGAAAGGCTCCCCATGCTTTGGATGAGACAAATGTTTGATGAGCAAAGGAACCCTTTGCCCCAATTGCATAACAACAGCTCTGCAGGATATGTCGGAACGATTCGGAACGCGATGATTCGAGTCGCGAACTGAAACATGGGTGAACAGCCTCGGAGAATCTAGGCCACTTACAGTAAATATTTTTGCAAATTCATGCACCCCAGAAATACAAAATGTGATAATATGTTGTCCCCCTGAACCTGGTCCGATGGTGGTCAAATCTGGGATGTGTGCACATTTCTCTGAAAGAAAATTGGTTACGGTTTTAAAAAAAAAAGCAAGCCCTGACAAAGCTGCATCACAAGCTTAAGCAGGACTCTGGCTCACTCGGGCAGTCCTTTCAGCTCAGGATCAAGGAAAGACAGCTCAAGGATGCTCAGCATCTTGTGTCGATCAACAATGATAATCATGATGGTCGACTGGCCAGCTCACACATCGAGCTCAATGCCCATCAGGGGCTTACCAATGGCTGCATCCTTAGGAGGGTAAATCAGTTGAAATGGGCATGTGTAGTAGTGTGGCATTATGAGCCGTATGAATCAAACAAGTATGCAATTTCTACATAGGTCGACAGTATATGACAGTATACTTTCCTGCGATGTCACCGTTTTTGAACTCTTCTGAGGGCCGATGCTGGATGATTTAGCTGTTTGTCAACTTCCTCGCGATTGGGCTTTCTCTGCCAATTGCACACGGCTCTTTTGATTCTTGGCAACATCTCTGAAAGACTCGCTGTGATTGACCATGCAGCCTCGCTGTCGTGCGTCTCAGAGAGGCACTTGCAGCAAGTGATGCAACCTGGCAGCTCGACATCGGTGCGGAGTGAACACGCGATCTTTACTGATCTATTGTAGTGCACACTTGTCACACTTGTCATGTTACCATACGCGTGCAGTTCCTTGTAGTGTACCGCTCAAAAAGCTGTGCAATCTTTGCCATACATCATAATGAACCATGCAAGCAACTCAAGGGACGCTTGCTGGAGAAAAGGACATTGGGTTGTATTAGAAATGCTGCTGCCAGCATGCCTCTGCACCCTGCAACCGCCAACATGCAAGTGCTTGCGCGGGCCCTTTTTGAGCGAAACGTTTGAGCCCCTTTCCTCATCATGGCGCATCATGTTCTCTTGAATTACGGTAGTGCATTCTGAGCCCACAAAGCAACAAGTGAAACATCCAAATGTCCATCCTGTCAGAGCCACGACCTGATCTTGCTTCAAGCATTCAAACATCGGGCATGGAAAAGTCGTACCCAAGTTCCGCTTCCAGCCCATGCAATAGCAAGTCGGCCTCCTTCTCTTCGGTGGCTGACTCGGCGCAAATTGAAAGACCCTTCAATTGGCTTTGGACCATGTTAGAGGTTCGCTGGGCGTGCTTTTCTTTGGCTTCCTTCAGAAGGAAGGCGCTGCAAATTCCGTAAGTCGGAGATTCGAAGCCCCTGCCTTCAGCACGAGCAAGCACCTCCATCATGCGTCGAGTTTGGTCACATTCCATGAGGCTTCGCCAGACATCATAGCGCCACCGGCCGGCACCATCTAGGAATTCAGTGTATTTCTCCTCTGCCTGCAGCTTCAATTGCGACTCAGTCAGGCCATGGCCTGTGAGCGAGCTCCACTCCTTCCTCTTCCTGACAACTTCACTTTCATGTTGCTTCACTCTGTCTTCCTGAATAGGCCTCCAGAAAGGGTTCGCCACAGCAGACTGTACCAAAGGGGATTGTCGCCTTCGTTGCCACCTTCGGCGAGCAAAAGCCTGCAAACGCCGAGCGGCCTCCTGTTGCTGCTGTTCACCAATGAGCTTCACAAGCTTCTTCTTGGCACGCACAGAGCGCCATAGCGTCTGCACGCGAGTGGCAGCTTCAGCATCACGTGCCTCCGAGTAGCGCCCTACGAGCCGGTGTCCATAGGGCATGGCCAAGCGAGCCTTCATCTCTTCCACAGCCGCCTCCGTTGAATAAACACGTTGGGCCACCCGGCGCCGCTCCTCCAAATACTTTCTCCTTCGCCGGGCACGGTTTATGATGATCATGAAGCGCCGGCGACGTGCCTGAGCACGATACCAGCGCTGCACCCGCACCACCGCTTCTTCTGTATTCGGCGGCGGTCGCGGAGGTGGTGGTAATGGCACCTCTGGCGGAGGGCTTGGAGGCTCCATTGTCAAGGCTCCTATCTGTTTTTGTGCATTGCACGGGATCAAATGCCTTGTGCTCGCCAATGTCCACGTTGCCTGATGCTGTGCGGCTACCTTGCTGTTTAAAGTTAACCTCTTCATGTTTGCTTCTGAAGGGTGTCATGATGCTTCTACTGACAGCCGAATGCACATGGACTGTGATCTATGAAAGTCACAGGTCTTGACGCGTGACCCCTGGTCCCAAGGTAAGTTCAACCTCTTCCAAGGCAGAATTTGCTTACCCAAACACCATGCGCAGCACACACATAAATGAGGGCAGCAGACTTCAATCTGGCATTTCTTGTTGGGTATCTATGGCAATATATTGTTGTGGGTATTCTTGCTCCACTTGCTATATAATTGAAACATTGGTATTATTATTGAGTCTCTAATCTAATGTGCTATATTTTGTCCGGGCTCTCTCTTTCCGCTGACAATAATTGAAAGCGTGTGTCTTAGTTCCTTTTCAGTATTCTTCTAAAAGATCATTGCATATTGCTTGTCAAATTCCTTGTCAATTTACGGGTCCATTGGAATTGCTAGCCCACATCTGCATAATGTCCTTTTGAATTCCTTTGATATTCCTGTTCAATGCTCTTTAAACGGAAAAGTTGAAGAAATCAACAATCGTTGCAGGATGTGAAATCAAAAAACTGTGTTTTCTCTCTAAGCATTGAAGCATGGATGGCATGTGATTGGTTGATTGGTTGGGGTACATCTCACAAGGCCAAAGGAAAAATGGAGAGAAGCTCTCTTGCAAGTGGCCTTGACCCCAACCCTGATTCCATCAAACAAGTGGCAACTAAGAAGCAGCCAAAAGCCCAAAGGCAAGAAGCCACAGAATCAGAAGCCACAGGCCAAAAGCCCGCCCAAATTGCATGTTGCAAAATCATACCAATAATTGGAGTGTGTAATATAAGACCTTTGACATATCTAATCTCTCAATCTCTCATGCTTTTGTTTTGCAAGGGTGTCGCCAGGCTGCAACCAATTGAAGCAATCTAAATGCGACCTGACACATTCCTGAACAAAGAAATCACCATTCATTCAAAGGATAGCTCTGGTTTTAGGTCAATATGATCGCACGGCGCAGCGAAGCTGCGAAGCAACCGCAATAAACGGACCCCCTCCACAGCTTTGGAATCGAAGTTGTACTGCACCACAGCTAGTATCTTAGCAGCAGCTATAAACCTCCGTCTTACAGCTCCTGCTGGCACTCACTGGTGCTTTTTGTCACTGTTCCGCATGCGTCGATTGCCACGGATTTGAAGCAGCATTCTGCTGCCAAGCGGTCGACCTGCAAATTGTTCAAAAAGCAAATCACCGAAAAGCAGCTCCGACCTCAACTGTCCTCGACCGTCCTGCTCTCACAATGACAAACTAACCCAAGACCAATGAATTATATACCGTAGATTATATATATATAATCATCAACAATCAGAAAAACCGGCCTCTGCGAAAACGGTTTGCTCAGAATGGCTTTGGCTCCTTCCTGGGCATGAGGTATCTCAGCGCTTTTGATCACCACTCGTCACTGGGTAAGCAAACCAAAATCTGCCGACGATGCCCTCTCACCTGCTAAGTCACTACAGTAGGTCGAAACTTCATCCCGCATGGGTCCGTTGAATCAAGGACTACGACCTATGCAATAAGCTTCGCCTTGACAGCGCGGGATCCTTTCCTTCCCTCCCTCAGTTAAACTGCCAAATTCACCCAAGCACCCAGCCAGCCTGGCCTTTCTTCCAAAAGCTCGTCCTCCAACTGCAAGGACTCCTGCAATTGGGGAGTGGAGCACGTGCAATGTTCCATGGTGGTCCGTCGTATGAACATCGACTGCATATTGAGGGAGCATATGGTTCGTGCACCGCCGTATGCATGTGGGTTGGGGGGTTCCCTATTATATAACATACAATACACAACCACGTAAAACTCTACTAGGTATGCTGCTTCCAGGGCCCCTTCAGTGGCACAATCCTTCCAATAACAGTGAGCGCCTCAAATGCTGAGACCTTGCGCTTCTTTCGCTTCACTCTTTTCTGTTCCTGAAGCCGATGCACTTGCAATGCAATGGCCAGGTCTATGGCTCCTGCAAGTTCGTGTGCCACAACCTGGGCGGCTGGCCCGCTTGGAAACAGCTTCCTCGCTCCAGTTTGGATCCACCCTCGGATCAGGCAGGCTAAACTGCCTGCTGGCTACACAAGGGGTGCTTGGTCAAGAAAGGCCAAAATGTGCAGAACTTGGGTACTGACTTCAATGCTTTCTTCAACTTCCTCTTCTCGTCTTCCTCCTTTTGTCTGGCCGACTCCTGGAGACCACAGACTGGGTTTCAGCTTGTGAACTGGAGGTTGCAGCAAACAGTTCTTGGATTCTATGATATATTGGGTGTGTTCAAGAAAAGTGTGTCCTTGAACGACCAATACGTGAAAGCGCCCCAGCTTCCAATCACAACCTGCAGCTGCAACATGTTCAAGAGCTGGAGACAACAAAGCTTCAGCAAGACAGCTCTGAGCGGCCAGCAACTGGCATGATGAGCAGGAACTTTCCAACCTGCAGGCTGAGCTAGCTGCTATATAGCTACAGCTAATTGAGTGCACAGGAGGCAACGTCAAAATGATGCGGAGTCATTCTTGTTGGACTTTAACCCCACCTTCCTCATGCAGCACACATGGGTCCCGCTGACTTAACTCAACAATTACTTGGCCATTGATTGGAACTTTGCCTCTGCAAAACTGAGGCCGAAGCGAGGAAGTCAGCCCAATCTGGAAGCTTTGGCAGGACCTTGGCAACGCAAACTCTTCTTGCAAGCGCCATTCCAGTTGGGTGGCTGCAGCCCCACTGTCCAACAACTTTTGTACTCAGCTACGAGCTTCACTGATGACTTGCTGTTCTCTGACCTGCTCCGCAGCCTGTGGGCAAAAGGTTCAGTCTTGAGATCGGGGGCTAGAAGCTGTCCGCCAATCAGAATCTGAAGAGCACACCCTGAGCAAAAAAAGTAACATAGTAGGTAGTGGATGGTAGTGGATATGTTCATAAAGGGACTTTACAAATTCCATGGCACTTCGGAAAAGGATGAAAAGGACGGAATTTATCCCACCTCCAGAAGCTCGTCGCCTGTGGGAATCTCCCCATCTTGGAGAGCAAAGCGGCCCAGCCTGCCTGGCAACGACGCTTCCTGGGCTCAGGGAGCCTCTCCCAAACTCAATTTCTTGGTCTCTATCTCGGCTTCTGATGGCCTGGGATGGTAGGTCCCAGCACATCTGTACAGAAGCATCTGCTAGTCTTCTGAATCTTTTCCCTTCAAGATTCCAAGTGTGCCAGGCACACTTGGGCGGCTCAATATCTGCAGGCCCGCAAAGGCCTGGCGATGCACACCCCGCCCAATCTGTCAGTTCCATTTCACCTAGCCAAACGTGGGAATTCCATGTTCGAGAAATCAAGTACAAAGACCAAAACTTGAGAGAGGAGGGGGTGAACGAAAGGTAGCAGGCAATCACAAGTAACTCTGCTAGAAGTCCATGACGGCGTGAACCGGCGCAGGGGGGATTTGATCCAGGGGGGGGGCCTACAGGACCAAATTCAATGCACAATCCCAACTCCTGATTGTAATACATTTGTGAAAGTTGAGTTTGCTCTTCGGTGTTGGGCAGGCGGAGGAACATGGTTGTTCATGTTCGCTTGGATCAAGGCCTGAAGCCATTTCGTGCTGCGCCTTAGGTGAAAACGGCGCGCTGGCAGACGCTCTTGCTAGTGCGTCTACAGTGGCACCGGAGCCTATCTCGATCTGGGCATTGCACTCCGCCGTTGCTTGCTTTGCTTCGCCTCGCTTTTGCCTCTTTTCTCCTCGTCTTCGTGGCCTTCAAGCTAAGCTTCTGGGCTGCTCCACACGACCTCGAGCCAGACGCTCTGGACTTCGTGGTCGGTGCCAACCTTTTGAGAATAACTAGATTCTCTTGTTTGTGGACACCTTTTTCTTGAACCACTTCACTGTGCCCTTGCCGCCGAGCAGTGCCTTGTTGGAGTGACCTTTGAGGGTACATAGACCCACCTTTTGCTTTGGGCCCTACCATCGTTGCGCAACTTCACTTTCGGTCTAAGACCACCTTTTCTTTGGAGAGCTTCAGAACTTGCGGAGCTCCTTGAACACCTTGCAGCAGCCTCACTTTTGTTTTTGGCCAATTTGGCCGTGAAGATGACTTCAGCAGAAGAATCCGGCACCAGCTCTTGGTACCGGGTGCCGACGTGGTCGGGCAACCCGGCGGAATGGCGACAGTTCCGCCGGGAGATGAACTGGTGGATGGCTTCGCTGGATGAAGAATCCTGCAAGAAGTTCAATGTTGCCGCCCGATGGGCACTTAGACAATATGGTGTGGTCAGGGCTCGTTGTGAAGAATTCGATCCCCAGGATCTTGAAGGGACCAAGGAAGAAGCCATGACCGATCCTGACACCGGCGACAAAGTGATTCGGGTTGCTGCAGACCCTTTTGCAGGCATCAAGAAACTCATGACTGCCTTGGAGGCCACGGTTGGGAAGACAGCTTTGGATAGAAAGGGAGAACTCCGATCCCTTTACTATCAAGAAATCAAACGCAGCCCTGGAGAGAGAATCTCAGCATTTTGCACGAGATTCCGGACCCTTGCAGCTGAGCTCAAGCGGGAAGGCATAGTGATGCCGGAGGAGGAGTTAGGCTGGATGTTGAAAGAACGTTTGGGACTGGATGCAATCAGGAAGCAGTTGCTGGAGACAGCATTGGCAGGTCGGGAGAACTATGATGTGGTCGAATCAGAATGCCTTCGTCTGTTTCGAGATTTGCACTCCTCCGACCCTTTGAACAAGAGCAGACCTTTTGATAAGGCACCACTACTCCAGCGTTTCCTACAGTCCCATGACAGACACAGCTCCTCTTCGTCCTACAGGCCTTCGACTACAGCCAGCTCGACGGCTCCCTCTTCTCGCTCCTTCCGGACTCAGAGCTCTGGTTCCAGCCGGCCACCTTTCAAGCGTTTTGGCCAGCAGCCTCAACCTCGACAAGCCTTGATTGCCGAGGCCCCTGAAGAGGAAGGCCAGATGGAGGCGGAAGATGAAGAGCTGATTCCAGACGATGATGGTCAGGGTTACTCTCCTGAGAACCTGACGATCGAAGAAGTCCTCCAGACCGAAGCTGAGCTTCTTGCCCAAGAGCTGCAGGAGCTCGAGACTGAAGGTTGCGACCCTCGAGTGCTTGAAGATTTGGAGAGCGGCATGGAACAGGCCGCAGAGAGTCTGTTGACAATGCGTGAAGCACGCACCAAAATAGCTGAGGTCAAGAAAGACCGTGGATATGGAAAGCCTGGCCAACCGGCTCCTCGTTCGACGAAGCCCCATGGCAATCAAGTCCCTCGCCAAAAGAGCACTACAAAGTGCTTCGATTGTGGTGAGATGGGACACTGGGCTGGTGATGCAGGCTGCAAGGCCCCTGGTGCTGGCCTGGCTCGACCCAAAGGAAAGCCTAAGAGCCAGATGACGAAGCAGGTCCGTGTCACCGAGACCCTGAACACTGAACATGTGGCTCCTGAAGAACCTGATGACATGGGCCACGAGGTCATGACAGTGGCCGCCGGCGATTCATGGGATCGCCCATTGTTCGAAGTCCTCATGCAGCACCATACCGACCCCAAGAACACTCCACGTCTCGCACAAGACAAAAGATTCGTTGGAGCTTTGGATAGTGCTTGCAATAGAACATGTGCAGGTTCCTCATGGTTGGCCTTCTACCTCCAAGCCCTCGAACGTGCTCCTTCCTATATCCAGAACCTCATCATCACCACCCCCGAGAATGAGTTGTTCAGGTTTGGAAATGGTGGTACCCAAAGAAGCACCGTGAGGTACAGACTCCCTATGGCCCTGGGTTCGACTTTGGTTTTGGTGTGGGTGTCAATAGTGCCAGTGCCATCGTTGGGACTCCTTTTGGGAAGAGACTTTTTGAGCGCTATCGGTGCGGTCCTTTCGTTCGGCCGCAAGCTACTGAGAGCTGACTTGGTGGGTGGCGAACTTTTGGAGTTGGGTCAGCTGGCCGCAGGCCACTTCGCCCTTCCACTCCAGCCACGCCAATGGCCTCGTCCGGACTCCCAACGCTGGCGGAAACTTGGACAAGACGGCATAGTTGAACTTCAGTTGAACAGTTTTGATTTTTGGAAGAAACAGTTGCAATTGAAGATGAGTCATTTTGAAGTGCCTTTTGAGTCAACCTCCGAAGCACCGCATGAGCACCTTGTGACAGAGCATGCGATCCTTGCTGCGACATCGGCCGGGGCTCAAGCTATGAAGGTGGCTCAAACACGTCCTTCAGCCCCGACGACATCCTCTTCGACGACCTTTCGAGACCTCGCAGGATCTGTGGATCGTAATGGAAGCGGCCCAGCACTTCGACCTGACCGAGAACGACTACACGAAGGTGGTGCTGCGCTGGCGGCGAATGCTTCTCCGCCTTCGCGCAACGGCCGCTTGGCACGCACATGGCTTGCTCTTATGGCTGTTGCCTCGTCCGCAGCTGCGGTACGCGCCCTTTCCGTACCCCAGCATCAGCCATACCAGACATTGGCAAGAACAAGCCGAATCTATGACCCTCCAGAAGCCAAAGGCATTGATGGTCAAGCACTGGCAGCGAGCTCGAACCCAAGAACCGTCAGTGTACACGACCAAGAACCTCCTGGACTTGGGACAATTCAGGAACCGTGCTGGCCTCAACTTCGCCTTCATGGAGGACAACATGTTGCAAGGAATGCTTGCGGCACGCGCCAGCAAAGGCCTGACGGCCCAATTGAAGCGGGATGCCATTCAGGAAGCCCAACTCGAAGCCGAGGCCGCTACCAAGCGTGGAGAGAAGCACGGCATGGTGCGCTCCCTCATCGGCCCAAAGGGAGGCCTGCCAACGTTGAAGGCAGACCTGGTGAAACTGGCTTCACTCCTGAACATCCCCGTCCAGACTGGAATGACTGTGGAAGATCTCAAGAAAGCTTGCCGCCCCTTGGTTGCCGAGATCGCTCAAAAGCCAACTCCCTCGAAGGCAAGTGGATCTACCAGTTCAACGGAAAGACATGTCCCCGAGACGTCAATGGCGAGACCTTCTCAAGCGCCCGAGACAATTGGCGCAAAGGCCAAGGCATCTCATGGAGTGACCGCTCAAGAGCTACAGGAAGTCCTCACCATGCAGGACCACAAGTTCCAAGGGATGCTGAACCAAGTGCTCCAGAGCATTTCGACCCTGCACCAAGCATCGCACCTGCCAGGACCTATGACTTCCGGTCCGATGGAAACCGAAGCAACCATGGACTTCGGCTGGACCCAAGACGAGATTCAACAGATGAACCGCGACTACTACCAGGACGACTTGGAGTGGCGCCAGGCCAATGGAATTCCTCCTCGCGACCAGTGAGACCGATGCTCGAGCTGGAGACGAATCCTTGGAGGATGCATCAGGCGGTGAAACCTGGTCAGGCTAAAATGATTTCGGATGCTTGGGAGCGTCATGAAAGAGACCGTCGCCTTGTGTCGCTCAGTGCCAAGGAAGTGAATGAAGTCTATGAGGAGCAGTGGCATCGAGCGATGAACCACTTCCAGAACGAGATCTTTGTCACCACCCTCACCGTTGGCGATGAGAAGTCTTTTCAGTCCCATGCCATGTCTGAGAATAGGTTGATTTCAAAGAACCCCGACCTTGTTGAGAATGACCGTTTCCCCAAGACCTTTGTCACTGAGGTCTACACAAACACGGAGCGAGTTGCGCAGACGGCTCGCAAACGAGGACATCGAGTGGGAGCCTCAATGAGCTTGGAATCAGGATGGAACTTTCTCCGTCCACTGGATCGCAAAGCTGCCAGAGCCGTCCTGAAGCGTGAAAGTCCTTTCTTTTTGGTGCTGGCATTTCCTTGTTCATTTTGGAGTGTGTTACTCAACCTCAACCCTCCGAAGAATGACACCAAGATGTATGAGGAAGCGATCACCCTCTTGCAGTTCGCCCTCCAATTGGCCAAGGACCAGAAGAGTCGTGGTTGTCACTTTGTTTTGGAGAACCCTCAATCCTCTAGAGCATGGACCCTGGAAGAGATGCAAAGAGCCTTGGAGCAACTTGAGGCCCGTTGTGTAGTCTTCCACCAATGCCGATTCCGCTTGAAGAACCAGGCGGGTGACCTACTTCGGAAAGCTACGAGGATAGCCACTTCGAGTGATGAGGTCCTTTCCCAACTGGACGGCATGAAGTGTCTTGGCAATCACCCTCATGGTCACATCATTGGGGGAAAAGCTGTTTCAGAGCCCGCTGGCCACTATCCGTGGGCCCTCGCCAAGGCCCTGGTGGTTGGAATGGAAAAGCAATTTGAAGCTGACTTCAAAAGACCACACAACATCCTTGCCATCGAAGACGGTGAGGAGGCTGAAGATGAGACCGCCCTGCCGATTGACATGAACCTGAGTGACTCTGATCAGGAGTCCACTGAAGCTGTCACTGGACCCAAGGTGTCAGCTGCTGTGAAGCAAGCTCTTCGACGCCTACATGAAAACACGGGCCACCGATCTGGCCGTCGCCTAGCCAGAGCACTGGCTATCACTGGTGCCCCTCCGGACATCATCCATGCTGCTCGTCACCTCAAATGCTCAATTTGCGACGAGCGGAAGATCCCAAAGGCCCGACGGCCCGCTACCTTGCCACTACCCAAGGATGTGGGCGACCAGGTCCATGTGGACCTCTTTGAGATTGAAGACATTGGCGAAAAGCGCTTCTATGTGATCCATGCCATTGACTATGTCTCCAGGCTGCAGTTTGCTGAAGTTTTGGAAACAAAAGGTTCGAGCATGGTGGAGCGCTTCTTCAAGACCAGGTGGCTACCCATCCTGGGAGCACCAAGAGTCCTGATAGCCGATCAGGGCAAAGAGTTCGTGTCTGCTGAGTTTGAAGAGTTCTGCAGTTCATGGAGCATCTACCTCCACCACACCGCGGTCCAAGCCCCTTGGCAGAATGGTGTATGTGAGCGCGGTGGAGCTATCCTGAAGGGCATTCTTCGTTCGTGCATCAAGGCTCATTCGGCCTTGGGAAAAGATGATGTTGAACTTTGTCTCCAGGAGGCAGTAAGCGCCTACAACTCGGACATCAACGACGCTGGTGTCTCTCCTATGCAAGCTGCCTTTGGAAAGCAACCCCGGATGCACGGAGATTGCCTTGGTGATTTTGGTCGCCGCTTGAGTGAGCATGGACTCATCGACTCCCGGCCAAGTTTGGCCAGACAAGTTGCCATGCGAGAGACTGCTCGCTTGGCGATGGTACGCCTTCATTTTTCCAAAGGCCTTCGACGAGCTGAACTAGCCCGTTCTCGAGGACCGACTGCAGAACATGGCCTATCTCCTGGAGATATCGTCTACTTCTTCAGACAAACTCGGTTCAACAACCGAACAGCTGCATCCAAGAAACGCCTCAGTCTCAAGCGATGGCATGGCCCTGCCCTCCTCGTCGCTTTGGAGGGCAATGTGAATGGATATGTGAGTTTCAGAGGACAACTGACCAAGTGCGCCATTGAGCATTTGAGACCAGCCAGCTCCCTGGAACAAGTCGCGAGTGAGGTATGGCAAGATGCCATTCAGGAAGTCATCGATGCGGCATACCATGATCGACAGATACCAACGACCTCCTCATCTACAACCACCTCGGCTGAACCCGAAGCACAGGGTGGACCGATGACGGGAGTGTCTCTACCTGTTGAACCTGTTCCTCTTTCGGCCGTACCTGAAGAAGCTCCTGCCGATCTACCACCTTTACATCCTCAAGAGTTTGTGCAAGCCCTCGGCAATGCTCAAGGTGGTCCTATCTCAAGAGGATGGTCTCGACATACTTCTTCTTTGCCAGACTTAGGTACATCTCCATTTCCTGAAGCTGTACGAGCTGCCTTTGAACAGAGACGGCAGAGCGTTTCCAGTGCCGCCCCAAGTGCTAGCGGCGAGTCACAAGCTTCCAAGAGGCCTGCTGAACTGGATGCTGAGCGCTTGCGTGAAGAAGCTCTTCAACCAGACCCTGTTGCTCCAACTCCGGCTCAACCTCCAGATGAAGTTCCTGATGAAGCTTCCGAAGCCCTGAGAGTGACTCATGAAGTGATGGAAATGGAAGCCTATGCCAATGTACATCCGCTCCGTCAGATCCAGATCATGGCGGAACAGGATCGTCTAAATCCCTTGGAAGCCAGAGTCCGAGACCATGGGACATGGCGTGGCAATTGGCCTCTTCCCTCGAGGACAGAATTCAAACGACGGCAAATGCTGAAACAACTTTGGCCCCTTGGCAATGATGATGCTGCTCAGGAAGTGCTTGCAGTGCTCACTGCTCGTAAGGAGCATGTATGGAGTCACATGTCGGACTTTGAGAAAAAGGAGTTCCGTGAAGCAGCAGCCAAAGGATGGTCAGTATGGGTTGAAAATGAAGCCATCGAACCTCTTCCAGATGCCGAAGCTGCCCGCATTAGGCAGAAGTTGAAGACAGAAGGTGAAAGCCACCGCATCTTGGTTCCTCGCTTCGTCTATGTGGACAAGAATGACGGACTGAGGACGGCAGACCGGGACCTTCCACTCAAGGCTAACGCCAGGCTGGTCGTCCCCGGATACCAAGACATTAGTGCATATGGCCTTCGCTGTGATGCTCCAACAGCGTCGAGAACTTCTCAGCATCTTTTGCTGACCTTTGCCGCCAGTATGAAGTGGAAGCTGGCAAGTGCTGACATCAAGTCGGCATTCATGAAAGGTGAAGAGTTTGGCCCCAATGAACGCATCCTCTACCTCGCCAACGTGAAGACCAGAGCACCTGATGAGCCACGCCTACCATTCTCTGAAGCAGGCTTATGCCGTGTGAAAAAGGGAGTATTTGGCTTAGCTGACAGCCCTCGTCGTTGGTATAAGAGGTTATGCAAGTCAGTACAACACCATGGTTGGCAACTTTCAGCTCTGGATTCGGCCATGTGGTTCCTGTGGGAAGGCTCCAAATTGGAAGGCATCCTCATCTCCCACGTGGATGACTTGCTACTGGCCGGAGGCCCTCGTGCGCACCACACCTTGCAATTGCTGGGTGCCGAACTTGGGTTTGGTTCCACCTCCACCGGAACCATAACCTATTGTGGAAAGAAGATTGAGCAAGCTGAAGATTTTTCAGTGAAAGTTTCCATGGAAGAGTACCATAGCAATCTTCAGCAGGTGCGCATCAACCCACTTCGAAAGAAGAATCCAGAAGCTACTTTGATGCCTGGGGAACAACGCCAGCTCAGAGCTCTCCTTGGGAGTTTACAGTGGCTGGTAGCGCAAGTTCGCTTTGACTTGCAATTTCAGTTGTCGACATTGCAGGGTGCTTCCCAGACCATCGAGACGTTGATCCGCGCCAACGCCTTAGTTAGAAAGGCAAAGCTCCACGCAGACTTCGCTCTGCACTTCAAGCCCTTGGACATGAAGAATGCTGGGATCCTCGTTGTTTCTGATGCCTCGCTTGGCAATGTGACGAAAAGCGGTAGTTCCCACGAAGCAGCCATCAAGAAGGTCTATAGTCAAGCCGCCTACTTTGTCCTCATTGCTGACGAAAACCTCATGAGCGGCAGAGAAGGCAAGTTCACAGTGTTGGACGCCCGGTCTCATAGACTGAACCGGGTATGCAGATCGACATTTGCCGCAGAGTTGCTGGGCATTGAGGAGGCGCTGGATGCCGGGCAATATTGCCGCGGCGTGCTTGGCGAAGCTTTCGGTCATCCACTCGACCGGAAGCCATTTGACCTTAGCACGGATTCCGTGCCCCTGTTGGTTGTCACCGACGCCAAGGATGCATTCGACAAATCCTGCTCAGAAACGCCGAGCTATGGCAGCCAAAAGAGTTTAGCTTTCACCATAAGCTGGATTCGTTCAATGCTGGCTCGATGCAACACGAGCGTGCGTTGGACAGCAACAGAGAACATGATCGTAGACTGCGGCACTAAGGAACTTGACCCTCAACACCTTCACAAGATCCTGAGAGATTGCAAGTGGTGTGTACAGTTTTCCTCCCAGTACGTCAAACAGACGTCCAAAAGTAAGAAGCCCATGGCTAACTCACAACAGACCGGAAGGGTGGTGAGAAGTGACATGGGAGTCCCTTTTGAAAGCTCCTCCCCGTTGTTTGGCCATGTGATGAAGCTCTCACAGAGCTCAGGTTGGCATGTTTTGAATGAAGATTTGGCCGTCAACGTGTGCCGTCAGGCTCGTTCGTACAGGACCCCAGAGCCACGCTGTTCAAGAACGACACATGCGTTTCGTTCCACTTTTGCCCGCTTTGACAGCGAACGTAGTGTGATTTGGCGACAGTTGGAAGACTCTGTCGACATGCGAGAGCTCCAGAATCCTCGATCGATGCTTGAGGAGCCTGTTGCTTTGCTCGTGACCGTGTTCAGCCGTTGCCCAACCCCTCAAATGCCACAAGAGAAGGGGATGAACTGTGAAAGTTGAGTTTGCTCTTCGGTGTTGGGCAGGCGGAGGAACATGGTTGTTCATGTTCGCTTGGATCAAGGCCTGAAGCCATTTCGTGCTGCGCCTTAGGTGAAAACGGCGCGCTGGCAGACGCTCTTGCTAGTGCGTCTACAACATTTTTGCTAAAGCAAGGAGAACTCAGGTAGCTCAAGCTACCTTTCGTGACTTGCAGGTCGCTGGTCGGATTTTGTGAGTCAAAGCCTGTTCTTCACGACCTGTGGCGTGGGGTGAGGGTTGGCATTTGCTTGTGCTTGTTGGAGTGTTTCTTGTTCCTTTCCCTCAAGCGATCGTGATTGGTAAAATTTCTAGATCTGGCGGTGGGGCCTAACCCAGGCGCGGCTTGGGATCAATAGCAGACTGGCTTTCTCCTCTTTGACTTGAGTTACAGTTATTGTATCTAGGTGGAGTAGGACCTCACACACTGCATATAAGCTTCAAAGCTTTCTGAAAGCAAGTTCGGCCACGCCTCATTGCAAGACTGCCGTAGTAAAAAGAATGCAACTAGCCCAATCACGGGCTTGCACCTGCATGTGTGCTACATTGCTACATGCCTTCAGCTCATTCGGGGCTGTCTTGACAAATGTTCACAACAGGCTTCTTGTTTACGCGTTGCATCACAGCCAAATCCCACGCCTCCCCCGTGCACAGCGATGAGGCGCCATGCTCAGCTGATGTGATGTCCGAGCCAAACATGCAAAATTCCTTGACGTGCCTGTGCTCCTAGTAGCGATGCCAAGAGCCCCTAGTAGCTTCTTGCTCCTAGTAAGGCCAGGAGCCCCTAGTAGCGTCCTTGCTCCTATGTGCTTGTGTTTGGCACAGACTGTTCACACTCAGACCTACTCAATTGTTGGAAGAACCCAGATCCTGTCTCGCATGCTAATGCTCACAACATTCACCAACTGCTCACATTCAATTGTTCGAGCGAACGGCAGAACTTGCCAGCGTGACCCAGGAAGACTAAAACGCCCCCGAGCGCAAGCATGGCCTGTTCAGCGAAATTGCACTGCAAATTGAAGCCCAAGGATGCACTGTTCACTTGCTCTATGGCCCCGGCGGATGTGCAAACACATGCAACAACAAACATTATATGACGGAGTTACTCCCAGTCACATGGGGGAAGCTCAACCTGCTAAATTTGAAGCCTCCAAGTACCTCAAGCACAAACCCACAACACAATGCCAAAGCATGCAGGTCCGCCACCTGCTAAGCTCATGTCCGCAGCAATCACAACGAATGTCAATGCCCCATATCCCCCGTCGCTAGTGGGACAGGGACTGTTAGCCAAAAGTAGCACGAAGAAGTCCCACAGGGACAATCAGTCATTGTCGATCGGAAGCAATACGCGCACCCAGCCTCACTCACCATCCTGTCTGCGATAGATGAACGCATGCCAAATGCGACGATGCCAAGAAATGCAAGCACCTTGGCTAGTGAGAGAAGGCCTAAGAGACCTTGGCAACAAAAGCAACTTCACCGAGTTCCACCCGGTGCTGCAGTGATCTGCAGGGTAGTTGGGTGGCGGACGAGGGCAAAAAGCATCATCTTCACCTGCCTCTCCTGCAGACCGCGACAGCATGGCAGCAAGGTAGATGGCCCAAAAAAGGACAATGCATGACGTAAGCAGCCGAGCGACACAACAATTTGGAAGTACAAAGCATGCGGGCCTTCATGTTCTCGCATGCACAAGCACTGGCGCAGTTCAATTCCCTGCGCAGCGCGTCATCTTTGCATCAAGCTGGGGGAACCCTTCCACAACTTGAGGAACACCCTCTGAAAACCTCGGTGGAACTGTCACAAAGCTTGGCCCCAAGCCACTTCTTGCGCTGGTAGCGCTCGTAGGTCCAAAAGCGGGGGTCCTTAGGGCTGGAAGCGTAACTGACTAGGAGCAACTGGCAACATTGCAGCTGCATTGCCAAAAGCTTCAGAGTCAGCACATCCACGTGCGCTTAGCTCAACGCGTCGATGCCGCTGACCGGCACTTGGGGGAAAACTGGTCGTGAGTCGTGGGCATGTTGCATGACCTTGGCTTCGGCAAAAGAACTTCTAAGCTGCAGTCGCTGTTGGGTGAGTCTTGGATATGTATCTATCTATCTAATCTACAGTATCTATCTATCTGAATCTATCTATCTGAATCTATCTATCGATCTATCTGAATTTATATATAAATATACCCAATCTTAGGCATGCCCCAGCCAAACGAGCTCGACAAACATCCAGAAGCATCGACAACTGGATGTGCTCCGTTGCTACATGTTCTCAATACTATGACCCTATGCAAATCCGCAGGCCAACAAACTGAGCATGTTGCTAATGGCAAGGGCGGCACATCTTGTCCTCTTGCGTAAGCAAAGAGGGGGAGAAGGAGGACAAGAACAAGGCGGAACGACGTAAAAGCAGAATGCTTGAATGAATGCCCGAATGCCAGAAGATTGTGCGATCTCTCTAAGAATGCGAGGATGCTGCCCAGCAAGCAGGAGCCTAACTGCTTTGCTGCTTTGCATGTTGTGTTCGCAGTGGCTGTCCTGTCTTGGGCCTAGCCTCAGTGTCAAAGGAAACTCAACAAGGCTGTCAATGCAACGATTCACTGAGCAGTTGGGAAGAAACAGTTGCCAATGTGCTTGGAACAAAGCTTTGTCTTTCTTGAGCTGCCGCCATAGGCAAATCTTCGGGGCTGAAAGGAGCGTGCGTGCTATCCATGTGGCAGTAGCCGTCCTTTGCAAATCCAGGCGCCCCGGACAGGTGGGGAGCGCACCTGAGGTGGAGGAGGCAAATCCATCTCATCGTCACCTGACAGCTGAAAGCAGGCATGGTGCCTGAGACGCAGCTGTTATATGTTCATGAGCGGGGCAACATTGTGCAGCAACACTCATACAGCATGGGCAACGGGATGAGATGTTTGGCTTCACCTATATCACCTTCACGGGGCAAGGCTTTCGGCCGTCTGGAGTCCACATACATCACCACAAATCAACCAAACAAGAATTGAGGCTGGAGCTCAAATTCAGGATGGCACCACCGTCCAGCAACCACTCCTCAGAGTGAAGCAACTTGAATCAAACATGTGCAGCTGATCATTTGATAGCATGCAGGGAAACAGGGTGATCAGAATGTCAGGCTGCCGCTCATCTGCAAAACTCCCCAAGTCAAGGCACCGGTGGTGGCAGCTTCGGCTCCGGCGGCAGCTTCGGAAGGGCCAAATTGGCAACTGCGAAACGAGCGGGAAGTGCCCAAAGGAGAAGTATGGAGGGGGAGTTCCACGGACTTCTGAAATGAAAACTCTGGATTAAAAAGTCGACAATGTCTTGACCGCTGTGGATTTACCCAGAACCAAGTTAGCTGACAACCCCAATAGCTAGGCATCCACCAAGATCTGGCACATGTGTATTTTGCGTGCGTTGTTCTTTGCGCTGTTCCTTCACACATCGAGGACAATTTTCAAGAATTCAATATTTCAAACACAAAGTTACACAAACAAATTCAATATCCAACTAAAATGTGTCCGAAGTGTAAGTTCAAACGTTCAAGTGTATGCGCATGGCGCATATGCCTGAAGAACCACTTCAATTCAGCACAAGAACACATTCGCACTAAGGAGAGGTGTTATGCACGCAAAAAACTATAGTTGGACAAAAAATGACAAGGACATAGGCTTATACAAATGACAAGAACATTGTTTTTTCACGTAAAATGAATGCAGTTGTCAGAGAACCCGTCCTTCAAGTTCTGGCAACAGGAAGGTCAGCGTTTGCGCATGCAAACGCAAAATTTGTACAAAAACATGTTTCGAATGTCGGCAGAACAAAAAGTCAGCAATGGATGTATGTACAGGCACCAACGCATGACTTACACACGAACGATGCAAGAAACGCAGCAGCCCCTTACATGTCCAAAGCAATTGTCCACCGACACCAAAACAATACTGAAATGCAATCACAACTTCAAGACAACAAGTTACAAAAACAAGTCCACGACCGGAAAACAGAACTCATGATAGGTGCTTAGATTCCTGGTTAGGTGTCACTCTTCCCTCGTTTCGCACTCAATGCTTCCTGTAAGCATCGTCAACGGCAGTTGCGGCAATTCTGCTTAACACCAGACGTGTCGAGACGCCAAACATGGCCGGGACACCACCGAAAAATGACCGAGACACCAAACATGACCCAGACACCACCAAAGCATGAGCGAGACACCACCCAAACATCACCGAGACACCACCCAAACATTACCAACACACCACCAAAACATGCCGCCGGGCTGACAACTGCGCCTGTGTTTTTGCGTTTTGTGTGTCGTCAATCTTCAACTAGTGGGTTCAAATATGCATGAAAACCCGCGCTTCGGAGCATTTGACTTCCCCAAAAGGCGCCTTGCACGTCTCAGTTCCAATGTGTTTCAACTCCAATTTGCGCTTTTCTGCCACGAAATACGCATTTTCATCAAAATGCATCCCTTAGACATGCATTATTGGGGGACTGTTCAAGGGCCTTTGGCAGCGAAACGCGGAGTTGAACTTGAGGCCGAGGGTTGGTGACGAAAGCTAGCAGGGTGGGGCGAGGCGGGTGATGTCGGCCCACTATGCCAGCACACGCCACACGTCCCAGGGAGGAAGTGAACCCGCGGCGGGGGGGAGGGCGTCCTTTATACATGAGAAGTTTTCACGCGATGTGGCGCTCTCGATGATTCCAGCCCCTCACTTGCTAAAGCAAGAACAACTCCAGCTAGCTTAGCTGGCGCTAGCTCTTGTGAAAAATCCTAGTCAAGTGTAGTAGTTCTCGGACACTTTTCGGGCCCAACGAGGTTTGCAACATGTACCAAGCATCAAATCTGTGCCCATGTTTTCACACCAAACACTTGAAGATTTGCGGGTCCATTGGACGTTAACATGTGCATGGAGATGGGAGTTGCCAACTTTCCACGAGTCTATGGCATCTACGGAACCAGTGTTCACATCCAGTGATGGTTGCGGCCCCGGTCCCTTGACAACATTGAACACCCCTTTGCTGTGGTTGCATGCTAAGTAGATGGAGTGCACGTCATGGATGGATGCACTCCAACTTTCCACGTAGATGGAGTGTCCAGCAATACGTTGGACATCACGGAACGTACGTCCCCCCACCCCCTACCCAAAGGACGAAGATGCACGTGACACGCATGATGAAAGAAGATGGCGTGACATGAAGGAGTAGATGTAGATAAGATAAGGTGGACAATGCCGATAAGTCGATAAGATTCTTGAGCGATATTATAAGAAAAAAATGGACATTCCCGAAGAGCGGGCACAAATTTGAACCACAATGGAACTTCAGCAAACCAACACAAAGGCAGCGTGAACACATGCAGTGCAATAAGATGTTGCCTTTGAGGAACTGAGGAACATCAGAAAACACTGTTGTTTACATAAAAATGAAAGGTGCCGACTTTCATGCAAATGTGTGAAAACATCGGAGACATGATTGGCGCTTTCACAAAAAGTGCACGACTATTAGCGCGGTTCTCTGCCAAAACAACGCAAAATTGACCAAAACAACACCGAAGCACAACAGACACCACCCACCCAGACCGGGGGCCGTAGATCCGACGGCACCAGGCCGCCTAAAGAGTGTACAACCCCAACCTAGCGCTATTGGGGAATAACCAGTCACTCTATGTTGCCCTGGACAGCATTGCCCGTGGCCAATGTCTCAACATAGCGCCGTCAACACTAGACAATCAGCAAAAGCAAGAAAATGTTGGCAGCCCTGCCTTTTCCACCTTCCAATGACCATGGATTGTGTTGTTTGGGGTTGTGAGCCCTGGAAGCTTTATGATTCTCAGGAGGCTCTACAGGAATGTCAACCTTCACGCCAGCTGTACAGTTGCAAAAGGCAGATCCTTTGCCCGACAAGAGTCAGCTAGTTAGTTCAAACCTTCTCTTAACTGGGTCCTTGAAAAAGGATTGGTGTCGGGCAATGTGATGCAATGGACATTCCGCAAAAAGCTCTGCTCAAGTTGATCTGATCTGGTTTAATCTTCGCCGCCCTTGTGGCGAGTGATCATGAGCGGAAAAGCTGTACAAGTTCCACGATCAACGGGAATTTTATGTATCCGCCACAACGGGAATCTTTAGGATCTTCGCCTCAACGGGCGGACTGGTGCCCTGTCAGCAACCATATGCAACCATCACATCTGTCCAACCGGACATGGTTGGATGAGGCCAACATCAACCAAAAATCTCTGACCATGTGGTGTGGCCTCCAAGTCTCTCTGATGTTCTGCTATGAGCGTCATCGCAACTTCAGCGTTCACACACCAGTGTCGAAGCAGTGCTCGTGCTACGTAGCATCCAAATTGAGTCAGAGCGAGGTCCAAAATGGCTTGTGCATGGCCCAGCTTTGCAACCAGCATCTCTTGCTCACTTTGACTGCAGTAGGACAATGCCTTTTCAACAAGGTAGCTAGAATTCTTGTGGGTTGCATACTTCCAAGGATCTGTCAGCAGCACCTTTGCAATTTGTTTCTTGTGGCGCTCTTCACCGTTCTCCAAAATTGACTCCATAACGTGATGTGCAAAGTTGTGGGTGCACAAGTCAGGAAACTCCAGCATCAGCTCTTCAATGAGAGCAGAGGTTGCACTGGACTTGGTCAACTCAACAAGTCTGCAAAGGATTCTGCAGGCAAAACGGTGTTTGGCCACACGGACAGCACTGCCATGAAGTTCTTGTGCCACAAAGCTGCTTGCTGCAGTGGAGAGATGTAAAACCACTTTCTGCACCACATAGTTGGCGTAGGGGCATGTCACTGCTTCGAGAACATGGCCCTGCAACTCAGCGGCCAATTCAGCAGCCTCACGTGTTCCCATCTCCAATGCCTCTTGCACCAGGCGACAGCCGGTCTCATTCCGCGACCACGCCCACACATTACCCTTCACACTCTGAACTGCCACAGCTGGTTCCTCTCTCAACTTCGCACGGAGCTGTTCCAGGCTCAGCTGTGGTGCACCCTCAGCATGGGCAATCTTGGCACGTTCTGCCGCACGCTTTCGCCTCAGGCGCCGTGCTGTGCTGGCTGTGAATCGTGGCTTCTCAATCTTCTCCGCGTCACTGTCATCACTGGGCAGGGCTGTACGCGGAGTCGGCTGGCCACTGCTGGGCGGGACGGATGTTGCCTGAAGAGCTGAAGCACATGGAACCTGTAAAGATGGCATGCTTGCAACTTGTTGATGTACGTTCGGCTGGGTTGACTGGGGCCACCAAGTCACGTAGTTCACTGGAACACCGGAGTTTTGGATTGAAGTCATGTAGTTCTGGTCCACGGGGACCAATACAATGACCTGTTGCTCAGGCTGCTGTGGGCACGTCACTTGCATCTGGTTCAAACTGGTCATCATTTCGGACGGCATCAGCGACATCCAAAAGAAGGAAACTATAGATCGCGCTGGAGAACCCCTTGCGCTACACTAATCTGTTGTCACTTGCTGTTTGAGCTCCGTTTTCTGCAAGGGTCGGACAAGTCCAGCACTAAGCAAATCAAAGGCAGACTTGAAGGTCAGGTCAGGTGCGGTCTCTTCATTTTGTTAAAATATGAATGTCTACTTCGTCGCTTTTAGGACGCGTGACAGGACGGATCATGCCATTTTATCAAATACAAGCTCACTGTTGCCACTGTTTTGTTGACTACCTGTCCTACCTTTCATTTCCAGGTATATGAGCCTGCTGGAATGACAAGCTCCTCCCGCGGTGCCGCCTGAGCTGTAGTGTTGGACATGAGAGGAAGTATACACAAAACAA